GGGGACATGAAACCTGGGCAGGACTTTGTTTCTGGGAAGGAGTTGGTTAGGTTATTTTTAGAGGGCAGGAGAGGGGAAGGACACGCATAGGAAACTAGATCCTGCAGAGTGTGGCCTTTGGGGATTTAGAGAAAGAGTGAGAAGGGCTGACAGAATCGATGCAGTATTAATGTGACAGAACTACTGCTCTGGACTTTCCAAATTGCACATGCCCCTTCCTTTCCCTATAGCATGATTTTATTTTTAATCCTGGACTCTCCATCTGTCCCTCTGGCTACTCTCTCTGGCTGCTTCAGGGCTGCTTCAAGGCTGCTGTGCCGTGGCTTCCAGGCCTCACACGTCAAGTCTCGTAGTCTTTGCTGCATCCCATCAGGAGAATGAAGGCAGTCGTGGATGACTGAATCCAACAGGCTGGAGTGCCGACAGCCAGCACGTGGCACTCACCTTAGTGCCTCTGGGGCAGCTGCTCAGTTTACTACCCCCTCAAGGCTAGCCCTGAAATTGTGGGAGCATTAGGAAGGACACTGAAGGCCGAAGAGACGGATTTACGGAAGGAGCTGTTTAGTATCTTTGCTGGACAGGGAGAATGTGGTAGGAGCTGGGAAGGATAGTTTGCTAGGAGGTAAGAGAGGAATGCAGCTGCACCTGTACAGATTGTCTGTTTGTCAGCTGAATATCCCATGGGACAATGTCAAAGGCACTAAAGACATTTAGGAACCCAAGTCCCATTGAAAGTCATTGACTTGAAAAATCTCCCTCTGTGTGTTCAGTGCATGAAAAAGTATATCTGACGTGCGGTCATGACATGAATGCTGTACCCTTGCATTTCTGTAGAGAATCGTTTGAAGGGAAACAGCTGGCTGTAAGACTAGCGAAACTCCAAGCAACAGACCTTAAATTGCCATCCTATTCTGAAAGGTGCCTGTGTAAAAATAGTACCTTCTTACTCAACAGATCCATTCTCAGTGTCTAAACAGAGTCAGACTTACTGACTGGTGGCAAAAATAAGACTTTACAGCTTTTTCACAGCCCTGAAAAGCCAATGCAGCTGGTAGGATAGGGAAATTGGATCCTAATCCAGGTATCAGCAGAAATATTTATTAAGGGCCAATCACTTGTGTCTATGAAGACTCTCTGATGAGCTGAGGATTGTATGGGAGCTGCCATGGACCAAAATTCAGCTTGCAGCACATTTTGCAGTGGTGAAGGAAGAAAGGAACTAGCCTGGGATTGATTTCATAGCCCAGAGGGGGTTTACAGAGCTGGCAGTCAGAGAGAAAATATTGCAGACTAGTAAGATGATTTTATGTGATATGGTCAGTAAAGTAGCTTCCACCAAACAATTGTTGCTGGGGCCTCTTCCAGGGTGAAACTGCTTTTCAGTTCACCCTTACAAATCTCACTCTGCATGTGTGTGCTGATCTGCACAGAGGTCTTTGCAGAAGGCAGAGCTATACTTGTCATACCTAATAGTATTTACCCCATCCAGACAGCTGCAAATCCATATCTTTCCTTCAGGACTGTGTTAAGAGTTAGACCTGAGCAATCCCAGGGAAATAATGTGTGAAGCTTTTATAAATCCCTGTTTTGACAGACTGTGGCAGGCCAATGTAAAACTGTTCCTTGTTCCTTCTCTTTAGATGTCCGATGGAATGCAGCTCAAAAAGTGCTAGTTCACTGCCAAATCCATAGAAGAGGGACAGAGCTCATATGACACCTTTGTGTCTGGGGCACTAAAATTCTCAGAATTTCTGCATCTTCTCCAGCTTTACTTGATGAAGCTCTGTCCCTTTCTTATTTTTACATGCAAAAGCTGGAAGGATTTGAGTCAGGCAGCCTTGTCTAGGGTGAGAAACATGAACAGCTTAATAAGAGGAGCAGCAGAAACAATTTTGTTGCTTTTACCCAGGAATAGAGTAGCTGGCAGAATTAATAAAGGGCTATCTAGCCATCCACCTGCAGATCACTTCCTCAAATAAAGATCAAGTCTAAAATTATTGTCATCTACAGACTGTACATTAGTGAACATGAAAGAATTGAAGGCCTTGGCTCAGTTCCCAGTTCCACATCACAGCCTCCACCACTGGACAGATATCAACTGTCCGCTTATTGGCATCTCAGCTGAAAAGGGTCAGGACCAAGTAACTTTGATGCTGAATTCCACTCTTACCTCTGGAGCTCAGGACAGAGCAGTCTGTGCTGCAGAGAAACAGAGCTTTTCAGTTTCCCGGGCTGCCAATTTCGTATGTTGTAAGAACACAAAGCTGCAGAGAGACCTTTCTGGGTAATTCCCGTTCTCTGTTATTGCAGGTAGCCACGTTACCTAATCTTTTCCACTAACTGGCCAAAGCTCCATTTTATAATTAGCCATGGTATCTTTGTCCCAGAAGGCCATTTCAAAACATTGCTTTTCAGCTAGAAAACAAAACAAAACAAAACAAAACAAACAACTCCCCTTTGAAAATATTAAAGGAAATAATTTTACCTCTGTTTTATTTGGGGACTGTTTTCTGGCTGATTTAATGGTTATATTTATTCTCTAACACCTGTTCATCTATTCATTCATTCATATTCAGTTAAGCAAGGTATTTGAACATCTTCAGAAATGAATGTGTGATGATACTCGACTGAATATGTGCTGGCAGTGACCTACTGCTATGGATGAACAGTTTGGGTTATCTGTGGAGGGGATCTCCACCGCATTACAAGGTCCATTAACATAGTGCATATCTTAGGAGATGGAAGGGTCAAGCCCACCCTTGACAAACCTGTATGGAAGCTGAGGATTTGTTTAGTTTATATTGCACATTTTTCATAGGAGGGTGAGGGGCACAAGGAGACCTGAGGGGCGATGGAATAATGTTAACATTCCTCTTTTCCTTGCAGGCTCGGGGATCTGGAGGTGGCAGGAGACGGAATGATGCTGCCTCCCAGGATGATCATGACAAACCCTATGTTTGTGACAGTAAGTAGCACCCAGACAGCTGATTCTGCTTCCAGCCTGGTCCTACCAGCTCGGTGCACTCAGGGCTTCATCTTTTCCTTTCCAGCAAAATATTCTGCTGCTCTCTGACTTGCATGTTTGCCACCTGCTGCTGCTGCTGCTCTTGGTGTTTTTGCATGAAGGAAATAAAATTAAGTCCTCAGCAAGACTCCACTTCCCTTTGCCCTATAATAAATCATCTCTTATATTTTCTTTCTCTTTCTCCTTCTCTTTTTCTGGCTTCTCTGCCTTTTGTCGTCCTTTCCCCCATGTAAGATTCACCATCTATTTCTTTCTCTGTTTCAGATAGTTACAAACAAAAGCATAACTCAAAAATCTCCGACAAAGGTACTTCACCCTTGTTGTATCTCTTCATATATTTGGTGATTCTCTTTCCTTCAGTCCTTTTAAAATCTCACTGGGCTAAATTTTGAAGGTCTTATTCTCATCCCTCACTCAGAAAGTACTCTTGTGGTATCATCAGGAGTTGAGCCCTCCTAAGAAATAAACACAACTGCAATGCTTTGTTTTGATATATATTCCCTTTGAATATGGCCATGCTGTTTGACATCTTGCAGTGGGACTGCAGATGAAGTAAGGCATTGCCCCAACTGAAAAATTATACCAGAGCCCAATGCCCAAACTGAAAACGGATACCAGAGCCCTAGTATGAGGAAGGAGTCCAATATTTGATACCCAATGTATTTGTTTTACGGTCAAGTCCTTTGTGCTTTCCTTCTTCTTTTGATACTCTTTTTTGCTTCACTATGTCATTTCTGTGAAGGGCACTTATCTTACCCACTGCTTTTGAGGTCTCCCATTCAAAGGATTACTGTGCAGTGTACATGCAATAATAATTTGTGCTACTGGGTGCCTTCTATCCTGTAAGACAATAACCTAAGAAAAGTTAATAGAAGTAGGAGAATAGCAGGAGGTCTTTACTTCTGTGATCCAAAAGTGTCTGGTTGTTTTGAGGACAATTAGAATCCCTCTTTCTCCACTATTTACCTTTCTTGCAATGTTACTGACCTTAAAAGACCAACCGTTACTATGTCAATCTATGAGGGTATTTCCCGCTTATTTTTAAAAACATGAAGAAATAAGGAGCATGCACAGTAAATAAGAACTATATTCCATATGATCAAATCATATTCTTTTATGGTAAGACCAGATGACCTTGCACAGTACAGTGATGGACATGTTGGGTATTTTGCTTCAGCAAAGTGGATATTCTAAGGGCAATCAGTAGAAATTGAAAGACTTGCACATGAATGGGAGTGTCTGAACACATGATCGAGGAGGAAGAGCTCTTTCGGATATGAAGAGTCAGGAGATTTCTACTGTGGTTAAATAGCTGTCCCTGTGTGTTGGAAGAACTAAAATGCATCTTCTAAGACTTCTCTGGGAGCCCAGTACATATCTTGCTGAAATCCACAGCTTTCCTCTGCTGGTGTATGCATAACTGTCTTTATCTCTTTTCTGGAACACCCTTCTAAATCCAAGGACACTTGTCAGTGGTAGTCATTTTGAACATAATGACTCTTTATTGTCTGATCTTGCTTTGCTTTTGGATCTTACAGAGAACTCACAACATGCATAGTAGTGATTTGCACAGAGTCGATAAAACATCTAAGATACCAAAGCAGGCAGCAGAAATCTGGGCTGCAGTCAAGGCTCTGCTACATTGTTGTACTGATGGAATTTTGCCTTGGCTTACATTTTGGAGCATAAATTTCCTCTTTGGTTTTGGAAATATAAACTTTCCTATTTCATTTGGCTGATACCTTTCATTTTTAGGAAACTTATAGTTAGAGGTGAGTCATAAGGAGTTTTGGAATCTTTACACAGTGACTCCTCCTTTTCCATTGTAGATAGCTGAGAAAAGGGTTATGTGGTAGCAGAACTCTTTTACCTGACTGTGGAGCAGAAGGGAAGAATTGTCCCAATTGTAATGCCATCATCCTGAAGTAATATCCTGCCCTTGTTAACTTTCTGTAGAAATATTACATACAATTCATTGTGAATAATTGTCTTAAGTTGAGGCCTCTTTCCTGCTTGGGTGGATTTCTTGAATCAATTTTTTCTTTGAAATTATTTGCTAATATTTTTATAGATAAATCTCAATCTAATCATGGTACGTTAGAAATTGGTTTGCAGTACTCCATATGCATATGTTTTGGGCAGATAGTTTTGTTTTACATGGAAACATGCAGGTCAAAAATAGTGAATTTGTTTCCTGTTTGGGAAAACATGATTCCCACAATCACATTATTGGTATAAATAATGACCTTAATGGGTTGACACTTTACTTTTTCTGTATATTATTTAATTTACCTCCAGGTTGCTTTTTCTGCAAGTGTTCTGTTATTTGAGTTTGGAAAGCGACCACAAAGAAGAAAGCATAAGCATATATAAACCAAATTAATTTTCCTACTTAACTGCATGGGCACAAAAAAAAAGATTTGTGGTGAAGAACTACTCTGCTCTTTTTTCATAGTTACATGTTCATATTTATGGGAAACAAGAATATATCACCAAGTTTCATCAGTAATAAAAAGGTTATGGGAAAAAACTAGTCTGTGTGTCAGTAAGATGATGCAAGAGCAGTACCCAGCTGACACTGCCCCTTGTGTTGGAAGACGGCAATGTTATTTCTGAAAAGGCCTGCCTTTTTTGGAAGAGGCATTCAGCTATACACCAATATTAAACCTGGTCCCAATATTAAAACTGACTGGAAATATGGAATTTCTATATGGAGGAAGGTTTTCAAAGCTCAAAATGTTTTGTCATCCTATGTTGTTAAGAAAAGGTGGTTGGTTGCTTGTTTTGTGGAATGAAATATTCTGAAATACTTCAGTTGATTTTATTGAGCATCTACTCTATCAGAAGTTCAGAATAAAATGTTTGACCATTCAAAGCATCGATAAAATTGCTAACGTAATAATAAAATGCCTTGTTTCATCAAATCAGCAAGTGGAAAACTACTTGGTCAGATTTTCAACCAGTTGCATTGGATAGTGTTGTGCCTTTATTCCTTAGGATAAACGCTTGGATAATGAAAGTGGCAGGGCAGCCTGGTGTGAGATGGGTATAGGCTGGAAATGGTAACATAACCGAGTGGGTCAGCTGCTGTATGAGACCAGAATACCTTGAATACCTGGCTAGGAGATAGAGCAGGTGCCTCAAAGGATAGCGAAAAGTAGGGCTTGAGGAGCAAAGCAGAGCCTCTGATGTCAACCAGGAGAAGTGGAAAATATGCCACCACAGCTGTCCATGATAAACTGGGCATGTGGTTTTTAAAGGATGGACAGAGTGAATGAATGTATAAATACCTACATGTGTAATAAGAATTGACGTCATGTTGTTGTCAAATGGTCAGCTGGGGAACCGTCAGCAGCAGTCTTCTTAAAAATCGTTCTACTGTTTTCATATGTTTATTATGCATTATGTACTTTTTTTTTTTTTTAAAAAAAAGCTTCTCTGAAGTTTTATGTAGAAACTTGTATTCTGGTTTGACAGTTGCAATCAGTTGTAGCACCTGAGCTTCATGACTCCAGATGTCTACTTCCTTCAGCCAGAGCGGTTAGTTTGTGCTGAATCTCTACAAGTTATTAACTTTCCTGCTGTCCATCCTCATTTGTCTGCTTTCATTCTTCTCAGGTTCCCATAGAGACTTACCTACGTACATACTTTCACCTTTGTTTTCTATCTATCTATGGAAGATTCCCCTTGCCCATCTCTAAAAGAAGTTGTTTCTATCTTTTCCTTTTACCAATATGTCCTTGTTTCCTTTTAGTTTTATTCCTGTATAAACTGCTGTTTTAGCATAACAACTTATGTTTGTACCATATCCTTTAACCACAGTCCCTCTGAGGCTGAGATACACATTCAGATCCATTCCTTGTGCAAAATGAGAATTGACTGAAACCTTCCTATGATCTCTGCTGGATCAGTGATTAATGCAACCTTGCATGTACCCAGAGACACTGATCCTACAGTGTTTTGTAGAAGCTGATTCTTTTGTCAAAAACTTCATTTTCAGGTTTCTCTAGTTATTTAACCTGAATTTTCTCTGCTGCAGTCTAAGACCAGCAGTTCTTGCTCTGTTCTTAGTGGATAACAATGTCTTCTTTCTATGTCTGTAAACAGTTACTGGAGCTTCTTTCAGCTGTGTTTTCTTCAGCTCTTTTATTAAGCTTGTTTCTTTTCTCTGAAAAATCTCCAAAGGGTCTTGTTTAAGTAGCAGTGTCCAGAACTAAGTAGAATATGATGTTCTGAGGATAGAAGCAGTTCAGAAGACGAATGGTTGATACATTTACATGTAACTTACATTTACTTATAGAACTGAGATGGCTGACCTAATAGGTTGCTTAGTAAACCCTTTTCAATGCAAGACGCTCCTTTCCAGTGCTGTGTCATGTTTCAGTGGTAAAGGAGTTTTCATCCTTGTCCGCCATGTGAGTTCATGTTTAATATACCATTTGCAATAGCTTCTTGTTCCTTCCCTGTTCAACCTGTTTCTACTCAGGCAGATTATCTATCATTTTTAGTTTCCTCATTATACTGCTTTGTCCTGTTGATACTGTGTTTTATTAATCTATACTAGATGTCATATTAATATTTACTAATTACGTTAGTTTGAAAGAATTCTTTGATTAATGAGTCTCATATGATACATTTTTATTATTATTCCAATATTTTCACCAACAATCAGTTTTCTGCATGTTTGATTCTTTCACTCTCTATTCCACCCTCCAAATTAATGATAGAAACAGAGGCAAGCATTAGGCCCAAAACAGACTCTTTCAGGTGCTTGAAGATGCAGAAAGGTGCCTTGTGAAGTTTTCAAAAAAATTAGGCTCCTAATTGTCACTGATTTCAACTGGAGGTAGGCTCCCAAACTGTTTTCCCTGAATATCCCACCAAGTGCCTATCTGCTTGTATTGTGCCTACAGATCGTATAAGGCTTGGTCCCTAAGTGG